AAGCAATCTACACATTTAATGCAATCCCTATCAAAATATCACCAGCCTTTTTCACAGAGCTAGAACAAACCATCCTTAAAAAAAATCCTAAAATTTGTATGGAACCAAAAAAGACTCCAAATAGCCAGAGGAATGCTGAAAAAGGAAAGCAAAACTGGAGGCATCATGATTCCAGATTTCAAGCTCTAATACAAAGCTGTAGTCATTAAACAGTATGCTACTGGCACAAAAACAGACACATGGATCAATGGAACAGAACAGACAACCCAGAAACAGACCCACAATTGTATGATCTACTAATCTTTGACAAAACAGGAAATATCCAATGGAAAAACATCTTCAACAAATGGCGTTGTGAAAACTGGACAGCCAAATGCAGAAAGAAATTGGACCACTTTTTTACACCCTACAATAAAATAAATTCAAAATGGATAAAAGACCTAAGTGTGAAACAGGAAATCATCAAAATCCTAGAGAATACAGGCAACAACCTCTTTGAACTTGGATGCAGCAACTTCTTACTAGATACATCTCCAGAGGCAAGGGAAACAAAAGCAAAAATAAACTATTGGGACTTCACCAAGATAAAAAGCTTCTGCACAGCAAAGGAAACAATCAACAAAACTGAAAGGCAACCTTTGGGATGGGAGAAGATAGTTGCAAATGATATATCTGATAAAGAGTTAGTATCCAAAATCTATGAAGAACTTATCAAACTTAACACCCCAAAAAACAAATAATCCAGTTAAGAAATGCACAGAAGACATGAATAGACATTTTTTCCAAAGAGGACATCCAGATGGGTAGTAGAGACATGAAAAGATGCTCAATATCACTCATCTTCAGTGAAATACAAACCAAAACTACAATGAAATATCACCTCACACCTGTCAGAATGGCTAAAGTTAACAACAAAGGAATCAATAGATGTTGGTAAGCATGTGGAAAAAGGGGAACCCTCTTACACTGTTGGTAGGAATGCAAACTGGTGCAGCCACTCTGGAAAACAGTATGGCGGTTCCTCAAAAAGTTAAAAATAGAACTACCCTACAACCCAGCAATTGCACTACTAGGTATCTATCCAAAGGATACAAAAATACTGATTCAAAGGGACACATGCATCCCAACATTTTAGTGGCATTATCAACAGTAGCCCAATTATGGAAAGAGCCTACATTTGTTTATTTAAATTTAATTAATTAACATATAGTGTATTGTTAGTTTCAGAGATAGAGTTAAGTGATTCATCAGTTGTATATAACATCCAGTGCTCATTACATCAAGAGCCCAAATTTCAATCAACTGATAAATGGATAAAGCAGTATACACACACACACACACAATACAATATTATTCAGACATAAAAGAATGAAATCTTGTCATTTGTGAAGATGTGGATGGAGCTAGAGTGCATTATGTAAAGTGAAATAAGTCAGTGTGAGAAAGACAAATACCATATCATTTCACTCATATGTGGAATTTAAGAAACAAAAGAGATGAACATAGGGGAAAAAAAGAGAGAGGCAAACCATAAAACAGACTCTTAACTATAGAGAACACACTGATGGTTACTGGAAGGAAGGTGTGGGGGATGGGTTAAATGGGTGATGGGGATTAAGGAGGACACTTGTGATGAGCAGTGGGTGTTCTTTGTAAGTGATGAATCACTAAATTCTATACCTGAAACTATTATTACACTGTATGGTAGAACTAACTAACTGGAATTTAAATAAAAACTTGAAAAAAAGTGGATAAAATAATGCAGCAAATGGATTTTTTCAACACACAAAGAACATCATTACAAAGGTATGAAAACAAGCAGACAAAAAGAAGCAGCTCTGCTAAGTATCAGCACTACCAGCATATACCACATAGTTGTAAGTTGTATTGGTTTTTTATTTCTAGCAAATACAAATACAGTGCCAACCCTAATATTTAGAGCCAGGGTTTCAGTAGTCTCATCCTTCCAAAGCATGAATTGTCCTGGACTTGGAAGAAGGTAACCCCCCCCCAAAAAAAAAGTTTCTAATTCCCTTATATTAAATCTAGCACTACTTTGGCTTTTTCAAGGAGGATCTCTTGAAGTCCTCTTTAATATAATTACTAAAAGGTTTGGCTATCTGATTTTCTAGGCACCAATAGGATGTAAACAAACCAGTGTAAACAGGAGAGGCTGCAACTAACACTGAGCATGGAGACACACACACACACAAAAATACAAATATAGAATTAACATAATGAATGTTCTTTATGATGATCATAAAGTTACAAAGAGAAGGGACTATTGTGTTCAAAATTTTTATTTAAGATTATAAGAAAAGATGCAATACATTCTTAGAGAACTTTATTCTCAGAGTTAAAATTTAAAAGGCTTTAAGACTTGAAAAAATAAAGCTCATTTATTTAGAATTTCCATCTTATTTAGACCATCTATCATAGCCCAGTGAAATCAGATACATAAGAAGTTAATAAAACAGAATTAGCCTGTTTTTCCAGACTGGAGTAAAGAACAAAAAGGGCCTCATTGCCCAAGTTTCTAAGGACATATTAGTCCAGTTCTGTAGCCCTCAGCCTCGGAAATTATTTTGAAATTTCTGATAGATGGAAAGACTCAGCATGTATTAAGATAACCCTGCAAAAATAATTAGGAACAAGTCCTAATACTTTCAAGAATATGGGGTAGTAGCCAAGTGTAAAACAATAACACAAAAGCCACCACCAAAGAATAAAATATCCTGCATGATACTTAAATATTTCAAGGCTTAAGAGGATCATTATTATTAATAATATTCTCTGAAAGAGATGGGGTTTTAAAATCAAAAGAAGTTTAATACAGCTGAGGAACACAGAGTTTGGGGACAGGAGGACTAAGAAACAAGGCTGCCAAGATGGGTAGAGGCTGGGTTACAAGAATATTGGCCACAGAGTAGAGGTTAGTTTGGGTGGGAGCAAGACTTCAGGAAGTAAGACCAACTAGAGACTTTTGTAGTAGTCCAAGTGGAAGACAATATTGGATTAAACTAAGGTGGTAGCTGGAAAGTTGGGGAAAAGTAGATGAATCCAAAAGATGTGGGGGGGGGTAGTAATTACATACTTTGGAAAATAATTCAATCTAGAAAGCAAAGGGTAGAAAATTAGCAAAGATGATTCCCAGTTTCTGGCTTGAACAACGGGGGAGATAGAGCTGTTATTGACTAAAACAAGGAAAATGGGAGACAAGCATATCATGTTCATTGTTTTTTTTTGTTGTTAAGAGTAGGGGAGGGAGATGGAGATGATGAAACTAATTTGGACATACTTAGTTTAAGGAGTTTATGGGTAGCCAAGTAGACATGTCCAATAGATGTTGAATATAGAGGTATGACACTCAAAAGAAGTTAGGAATGATAACTGAGATGAAAGTCATTGGTATATATAGAAGGTTATGATGTCATGGGAATAGATTAAATCACTCAGAGTCTGTATGGTAAGAATACCTAGAACAAAACAAAGAAAAACACCAACACATGAGTGAACAAAGGAAAAGATTACCAAAAATACTACAAAAGATCTTTATATCACAAAGGCCTTTAATACAGCTGTGTAATATTGTGGAAAATTCTAAAGAGAGCACAGCCATAAAAGTATGAAGAAAATCAGATGTAGTATTTACTGCTGGTACTGTGTCCAGATCTCTTTTACTGGGCCAGGGAAACTGTCCCTCTACTACTTCAGAGTATTAACATTGGCTGAAGGAAGCCACCTTTCCTTAAAATGCCTGGGAGGTTCTGCCTTCCTCCAGTTAGCCCACAGACAATGGCTGATTAGGAAGAGGCTACAGAAGTCCAGCCCCTTGCCTGAGGTGGGCCAAATCTGTAGTGCCATTCATCCCCATGGGGTCAAATGGAGGCTACACTTCAAGTGAAATCACATCTTTGCTTTACTTTCCTCCCTTCCCCATCTTGCTTTCCTTGCTTCCTTACAAGTTTTTCTGAGAGCACTCTCTATAAATTATTTGCTTTTGAATCCTTGTCTCAGGCCCTGCTTCTAGAGAACTTAATCTAAGAAACAGGGAATTGTGATGTCTCTGAAGTAAAAGAAAGAATTGTTCTTAAACCACATATTTATATTTTATTCATGTTTATATATGTGTGTATTTTATTTCATAATAAAAAAGGAGTTAAGGAGGGAGGGGAGAATCAACAATGTTGAATGTTGCTACATGCTACTAAAAAAGTTTTTAAAAAAGTTGAGTAATAAAAGAACAGACAAGTGTTCATTTTAGTAACAGAGCCAACATTGGCTATCTCAGTTGCAGAAATTGCTTTAGAGTCATGAGGTTGGAAGTCAGACAGCAGCACTGGAAGAATGGATGAGAGGTGAGTAAGTACAGACAGTAAAGAAAACTGCTGTTTCAGGAAGTAGGACTGTGAAGAGGAGGAAAGACTTAAGGCACTATTTGGAAGGCAGATTTTCAAATTTAACATGGGAGGTTCTTGATCACATTTAAATGCTAATGGAACAGAGACAATAATAAGGGACAAGTTGGAGATCTAAGAGAGAAAAAAAACAATTGAGTGTAAATGGATGGAGAGAACTGCTTTTAAGATGTTACAGAGGGAATTTAAACATGAACAGGGACTTGCTCAAGAAGACCTTTGAGATCTCTTTCTACCTTGAGAGTCTGAGCTTGGATGATGTTTTTTTAAAATACAATGTAAATTCAATTAGCCCATATATACTACATCATTAGTTTTGGGTGTAGTGTTCAATGATTGATTAGTTTCATATAACACCCGGGGCTCATCACATCACATGCCCTCCTTAATTGAATTTAAATAAAAAAAGAAAGAAATTGAAATATAGCTCAAAAAATAAAATAAAATAAATAAAATAAAATGTAATATTAAAGGATCAGGAACCAGAGTACCTGAGTTCATCTAGGAAAAAAAACAAAAGTTTTGGTATAAGGCAAGAATTTATCACAGTTTTCTTTTGTTCTAGGAGGTAAGGGTTCTTACCCGCCAATATCCTGCTTCACAAAATCTCCAGGTTCTTGTCGTCTTGATTCCCCTTGGCCAGTTATTACAGGAAAAATATTAATCAGGAAAAGAAGCCCAAGGCTGGTTGTGTAGAAGTGACTCATTTGTGTGATTATCATCTTCTTAGGCACCAACTTGGAGAGACCTGTGAGAGCCATGTTCAGGGAAAAGAGGAAGGAGAAGGAGTGGAAGGCAAAAAAGAAAAAGGTAAAAAAAAAAATATTTTATTCAATTCTATTAGAGCGATTTAACTTCCCTAGTGTCCAGTTACTAAATGATTAAGGTGACAATCCCCTTTCCCCAGTTCATAAATGCCACCAAAATTCATTCCCAACATACTCCTTTCTTGAATATACCAAAGCCCATCCAAGAAAGTGTAAAGAGCTCTAAATCAGTAATTCAGAATCTTAGGTTACAATTTCATCTCTTTCCCTGTCTTCTTCCAGCTTTAGTTACTCTTTCATAATCCAAGAGTTTAAAATAATCTCTCATGTCTTCATTTTATTTTCCCCCAATCCCATTTGATCTTTACTCTCACAAATGCCTTTGCCATAGTTAACTGTGTAATATTGTAGGAAATATTAGAATATTAAGACCTGAACTCTCTTTATAACATTTTTGGGATTGATTCTCATTTCTATAGTTAAGCAATATTCCAAAAGATCAAAGGTCTTGGAGTAGATGAACTGTTTCCTCTGAATCAGGTTGAGAAAATGCAAAATGATGAGACACCATCGCTCTAGAATAGGAATGTAATGTTTCCCCATAAAGAGATATTTGAGGGCAAAGTCAGCCCCATGTAGGGGCCGCAACATAAGAAATCCAAGTCTATCTTCCTAGTACAGAAGACCCTAAAATGTCAGCAAATTCTACTGATGATAGAATTATGTGATTTAGAGTTGCCTATGTGCAAGGCTATTTTATGAACTCTGGACTGGTGGATGTTTAGCTAAGGCATGGGATTAAGAAAACAGGAGAAAGTGGCACTTTCTTGGTATCTCTGAACCTTATGGCTTCATTGAATCTGAGACATTGACCACTTGAAGGAGACCTAATTGTGACCCAACACCATACTCTTTTTAAGTCATTTCAGTGGCTTAACTTCCAGAGAGAATAAAAGGCTTTAAAAATTTTTTCCAAGGAAAGTTTATGCAAGGGACTAATATGTAATACAGATACATGCTGGAGAGCTATTATGGTTGATAAGAAGATGAAGAACAAGTCTTTTTAAATTTATCCCACCCCCAAAAAAGTAGCCACTATGTTCTATACTCAATTGTCTTCTTGAATCTTTGGGATGAGAAAACATCTATTTTGAGTTGCTGCCTAGACATTTTACAATATGGCAACCTTGCTCATACCCAGAGTCTGGACATTTAGATAAGGACCCAAACTTAGGATTCCCACTACAAGTTCCTGCTTTGCTTTTCCCAGGGCATGTTTTAAAATAACCACTTAGAGTTGAGCCCACAAAAAGTTAGCGATCTCCACCCCAACCACCTGATAAATAATAGGTGCCTGTAACCTACTCTCTATCTCTTGCTAGCTTGTGACCTGGGAGGGAGGGCTGTCCTTCCCCCAGCTCATTACACTTCCCTGTGGTGGGATTTGTAAGTAAATAAACCTTGTGACTTTACTTCTTTTGTATGAATGTATTAAAACTGCATCTCCAATCAAAACAACCCAAGGATTTTCGCTTCCCCAAAGTGGAAGCTCAGATGATGGGGGAGCTGCCTGTTGACCTCGTGTGGGTGGCTTGTGCTTCTTCATTTATCAAGTCATAACCTGCATATTCTTAATATATCAGTTATGGGTCTCTCTCAACAGAAGATTGTACAGGCAAAGAAAACTATGATACTGGAGAAGATGAACTCCTGACATGAGGAAATGTCCACATTACAGATAGAAATAGTCATAATATTAGATTGTATCATATAAAATTGCCAATATTTGACAATTTTTGTTTTATAAAAACAGCAATTTTTTTTACAAAACCATAACTATTTTTACTTTTTTTGTGCCTAGTTGTATAATTTTTTTTTATGTTATGTTAGTCACCATACAATACATCATTCGTTTTTGACGTAGTGATCCACGATTCATTGTTTTCATATAACACCCAGAGCTCCATGCAGTACCTACCCTCCTTAATACCCATCACTGGGTTAACCCATTCCCCCATCCCCCTCCCCTCTAAAACCCTCAGTTTGTTTCTCAGAGTCCATAGTCTCTCATGATTCATCTCTCCCTCCAATTTTCCGCCCTTCATTTTTCCTTCTTTCTCTTAATGTCCTCCATGCTATTCCTTATGTTGCACAAATAAGTGAAACCATATGATACTTGACTTTCTCTGCTTGACTTATTTCACTTAGCATAATCTCCTCCAGTCCCATCCATATCGATGTAAAAGTTGGGTATTCATCCTTTCTGATGGCTGAGTAATATTCCATTGTATATATGGACCACATCTT